TTTTTTTTTTTTTTTTTTTTTTTTTTTTTCAAAAGAGGGCAGGTCGTTCCCTGAATCCCAATGAGTTAAGTCAGTCACTTCCCTTCGCATGCATCACAGCCTCCTTAGAGCTGCAGGCACAAAAGAGCATTTAGCTGCCTCCAATTTGTGTAGCAGGCCTGTCCTTAATTTGGATTTTTTTTTTTTGGGGGGGGGGTTGTTTTTCTGGGTTTTTGTTTGTTTGTTTGTTTAGTTTTTATTTTAAAGTATAATTAAATCATGTACTTCACTCCATGTAAAAATACCACCTCCCCAACTCTGACGATTGAGCCACTAATTGTAACCTTCTAAATAAATTCCTGAACTTGTATGCGTACTTAGCTGGTCTGCAGGGGCTTCACAAGAAATTGATGCAGTGTTTCTCGGCTGTGCAGACCTGCACCCTGCTTCCTGCAAAGGTCAGAGCTGTACAATCCACAATTACTTTCCAATGAAGTCTTATATCAACAAAATCTCCTTGAAAGGATTACAGGCCTTTAAAAATAAAGCTTTAATCTTAAATATACATGGTGGCATATTCCATTTCAATCAAATATGAGGGATTGTTTAAAAAAGTAACCTCACACACATACATGTGTTTTCATGCAAGGTTACTTTTCCCAGGTGGGCAGAGAAAACCATAAATACGGTTGTACTCCCTCCATGTTTCAGCATCTATTTTATGTCAATTCTTTCTTCTAGCCTAGACAGGAACATCCATGTGTGTTTGTGTATACATATACATATACGTATACATATACATATGCATATACACAAGTATATATAATTTTGATTTATATATCTGTATCTATATATATATATATATAATCTATAAATTATACATGTATATATAAATATATACAAATTCGTGCATGACAGAGTGTGTCTAGCCTGGACATGTCAAGGGCTGTAATCCGTGGGCTGGCAGAAGCCTGTCATGAGGAAAATAAAGCACCAAAGTGACCCAGCAGTGGCCCTGGCCGATGTGGAGCTCCAGTGAGAAGAAAGGCAGGTCTGCACCAGGGGCCAGTGGGCACCGCCCAGCCCAGGGTTGCTCCCCACCACCCTCTCTGCAGCCTGGAGGCCAGGGGCCTTGGAGGACCCCAGGGGGCTGTGGGGGGGAGGTCAGGGCCACCCCGACATCTCGGTCACCTCAGGAGTTCTTGGCACTTTCTTTGCATCCTTGTCATCTCCTAATTCCAGCTGCGCTTGCTCAAATGGGTGGTAATCCGACTCTAGAGGAGATTAAGGAACCAGAGATAGCTGCATTTAGGATTACCGAAAGGAAATGAAGGAATCTAATCCACTCCCACCCCTTACGTTACTGGGTTTCAATAAGACTTTATACCACCTTTTAGGATTTTAAACAAATGAAATCACTTGGAGAAGAGGGACAGAAAGAGACCTAGTGATAGAGAACGTGTTTACCCATTCAGTGAATTGAATAGCAGAAGATAAAGTGAACTGCAAAAGCGGCCACGGCAGAGGTGCTTTCTTCTGCATCTTGATAACCGCCGTATCTGAATGGGCCCAAGGCTTGCCGCTTCCTCAGCTCTCCCCTCAGGACCAGGGCAGGGCCGGGAAGGCCACGCTGGCATCCACATATAAACTGCAGGACCAATCCAGTACTGATTTAAGGTGCAATATGACACACCCCACCACCACCACTCCCACAAATCCCACATCTCAAAAGGCAAAACCCCACAATAGAACGTGAAGCTGTGAAATGTTGTTTCCAGTCAATGAGAGTTATCAGTAATCTGCTGAATGTCCTTAGCTTCAGAGGACTGTTTCTGCTCTATTCTGATCGCACAAAGCCAAGAAGAAAATAACCAATGCTTACTACAGTGATAAAAATAAAGTCCTCTTGTTTTTCACTAGTTTCACTTTAAACCAAGAAAACAGTATACCCTTTTGCTCCAAAGATGCAAGTAGTCTACAGAAAAAGGACTGAACTGACCTAGTCCTGAGACCAGTTCCTACTTCTTTGGAAAGACGAGTAACAGGGAATTAGAAATAAACCACATACACATACATACACACACACACACACACTCCCCCAAACCTGTGAAATCTAAAGGTGTTTTTCTTTTTGTAATTTCAAATATAACCTTCCATTTTCCCGGACTATTTTTCTATTCCAAGTGCTAGACTGCCTACAACAAACCTCTCTAAATAATATTTAGTATGAATATGCTTAAATGTACTGAGCTTCTCCATATACTGGTTATCCTTGGTGTGTTATTGGGGTAGTCTAAACTGCTCTTTGGTTGCAAGAAAAGAGCCTTAATATGAGAAAAAAAAAATGGCTAGTCATCCCTGAGTAAGATTTTGTTTTGTAGAGTGCTTGTCATGGTCCTTTGGAAGCCTGAGAGCAACGTGAATCAAAAGCCTCGGAAGAAGACCTGTGTCGACAGAGGCTCCATATATAGCAGGCACTAATTATTAAAGCTCATTCCCTGATTTAGGACTCTATTTTCCTTAGCAAGCCCATCATCCTGACACAACGCAGCTCAGGATGTTTGTTCAAAGCTTATGAAAATGTAACCCAACCCATTGCTAGAAGTTGTTGCTAATTAGTTGATAATAAACTTCTCCGGCCAGGACACAAAAGTCTTTCAGAAGTGCAAGGTGTTCTTTGTGATGCCCTCACAAGGGGAATTAGCATATCAATTCGGCAGGGGAACAATACATCAGGGCGCTTGAGTTCTCTCCTCTCCTCTCCTCTCCTCTCCTCTCCTCTCCTCTCC